ATGCAGGGACCTTTTTGGCCATCCATTTATGGGGGTCCCTGCAAGGGAAGTGGCCTCCAAGGGTCATGGACTGGCCTGAGTGGGGCTGAGGGTGGCTCCCTGGACAAGAGCCTGTGGCAGCTCATTTTAGAGGAGAGGGGACTCCGGGGCGGGGGGGAGGGCAAGGGGGCTGGGACCCCCTGCGATTAGGAGAAAGGGGTCCAGGCTATGTGTGGGGCTGCCCTTTTGCACCGACTGGCAGCCTGGGGAGCCAGGACAGTAGCTGACTCTCGGACAGAGCAAGCACACGCATTGTCTCGTGGGAGCTGCCACCCACCCACTGAGACGCTGTCCCCAGTGTCAGTGTAAGATGGAGACTGATGCGGGCACCTTGATGAGCGCTGTCCTCACCGAACTCGCCTCCGATACGTGGTGCTGTCCACTGTCCGCACACACCCCAAGCTCTCGCTGCACTCCACCGGCCCAGCCCATGGTGGAATCTGGGAGCCACTGAATGACTAGGTGTTCCTGTGGTCTGGGAGGGCACCTCATGGAGGAGCAGCGTGGCCAGGGCTCGCAGAAGCAGGACACCGCCGCCCCTGCCCTCGTGGCTGTGGCCTGGCAGGAGGCAGGCCCTTTGCCCTTTGCTTCAGGTGTGGACTCCCCTGTCCTCCCTCCTGTGATCTTTGTCCAGGCCCTGGTCCTTCAAGGCTGGGCCCAGGGACACCATTGCACTATGTCCTTCTCAGCTGTTAGGAGTCATTGGCAAACATCATGTGGATATGCTTCTGTCTGTTGTCCCCGCCTGCTGCACGGTCCAGCAGGTGGCCCGTCAGCCACAGTCACCCGCTGGAGGTGTCGGCCCCATCTTAGTTCTGGGCATCATGTCCTATTCAGAGTGATGGAGGTCTTCCTGTAAGACTGGACCAAGCTCACAGCGTGTCCCAGGCCACGGGTGTCCATCTGAGGGGATCTTAGACTGGAGGACCCCAAGGCAGGGGCTCCGTGTTCCTCTCTGTCCTCAGGGCTTCCCTGGGGCAGGAGGGAGCAGGAAGGGGCAGGAGGGGGCAGGAGGGGGCAGGAGGGGTGAATGGGCACTAAGGAGGGTATTGCTGCATCCCCTTCAGTGTCTTAGCCCTGAGGTCCTGTAGGTTCCTGATCTGGGGGGAGGTCAGCCCACCAGACTCACCCAGGGAGGAAGGGTCTTCAGACCTCAGGGACAGACAGGCCACCAGGTCTGCTGCTCATCAGGTGTGCAGCTGGTGGGGGGAGGGACCCACGTGAACCAAGGGGCTGGGACAGGCATTTCGAGTGAGCTCCCATGAGGACGAGGCTCTGGCCACAGCCCACAGGTTGTCCCTGCCCGTCAGAGGCTGGGGCGGGAGGGCCGGGCCTACAGCAGGCTGGGCGCCGCTGCTGCCGCCGAGTCCGCCCTGGGTCGGCGACCGCGCGCGTGAAGAGGGAGACGCTGCCCGGGGCTGTGTCGTCTTCACCGTCATCGGGAGTGGGTCCGTCCTCTCAAGGAGGGGTTCCCGCGTTTTTCCTGACCGTCCACTCCACCAGCCGTGACGTCCTTGTCTGGTGATGACTTCCTTCAGATGCTGTGCCCAAAGTCAGCCAGTCAGAGTCTCAGACAATGTTCTGTGGCCCACGGTTTCCCGGGGTCGATATTCAGAAGACCCCCAGCCCTTTCTTCCTGGTCTCTATCTGGGAGCTGCGCTGAACCCACCCACTGTGGGGACCTGCTGGGGTTTGAAATACTGGGGACAGAGTTGCCAGGCTCTCAGCAACATGCAGCTACCACGCAGTTACAGCACGGCACACAGGCAGGTGGCGGTTAGTGTACGACGGGTGGTGGTGACCGTATGACACACAGGTGGGGGTTACAGTACTGCACACAGTTGGGTGGTGATTAGTGTACAACACACAGGTGAGTGGTGGTTACAGTACTGCACACAGGTGGGTGGTGGTTAGTGAACGACACACAGGTGGGCGATGGTCATAGTACTTCACACAGGTGGGTGGTGATTAGTGTACAAGACACAGTTGGGTGGCAGTCACAGTACTTCACACAGGCAGGTGGTGGTTACAGTACTGCACACAGGTGGGTGGTGGTTAGTGTACGACACACAGGCAGGTGGGGGTTATGGTACTGCGCACAGGCGGGTGGCGGTTGGGGTGGCAGAAACTCCATCTCTTTCACGGGGCCTGACTTCAGGCCCTGCCCAGCTGGCCTTCTCAGCACTGGGCCGGCCCCTTCCCGTGGTCTGTTTGAGGACGCTCTGGGTGGTGGCCCAGTGGCCAGATGCTGGGTCTCAGGTGGTGGATACAGGGCATGTCTTCTGAGCCAGAGGTTGCTGACAGCATGTGTCCAGGAGTGTAAAGGGTTAAAGGGCCAGGGAGAGCTTTTTGCAGAGGGGGTATCATTGGGTACCCCACTATTAGCTGCTGAATGAATGAATGAGTGGATGGATGGTGGCACTTGTGGCTGCCTGTTGCTGATTCAGGTGGGTGGGGATGCCAGGTGGGGGCAAGGCAGGCTGGACTGGGGGGAGCCAGGGGCCGGGGGCACTCCCTCCCAGGTGGGGGCAAGGCAGGCTGGATTGTGGGGCCAGGGCTCACCATGTTATCACACCCCACCTGCCACCTACACATTCTCCCAGCCTTCAGATGTC